GTCGTGTCCAGTCCACTTCCGGGTTGTGGTGTAGTAGCCACAAGTGTCCTATAATGAGGGACTGCCTCCCAAGGTTCGCAACGGCGAAGCGGGCCTGCTCCGTGTGTCGCCCGAATGTCAAGAGGGCCTCTAGCTCCTCGGTTATGGCTCCATTCTCGTTCAGGGTTCCATCGACGTTGCGGACAGGGATGGGCTGGGGAAGTGGGGTCGTCTCAAGCCCGTGTTTTCTGACAAACTCGGGGCTCACGAAGTTCCCTGTAGCCCTGGAGTCTAGGAGCGCCGACACGGAGACGCTGATGAGGGACGTTGTAAGGGGGCAAGGGATCTACCACCCTAACGAGAAAGAGAGGGGACCAAGTGTTGGGAATGCTCAGGGGAGGTTCGGATGATGAGGAAGGGGGGGGAAATGGTCCGGGTGCGATGTGATAAAAAAATGATAAAACTCGTAAATCTCACTAGAAATCAAACTGATGGGAACTCTGTCCCTGCACTATATCTTGAGCCTCTTTGGCTTCGTATTTGCCGCTCTGGGCGCTGGTAATGTCTGCTAGAACTTCATGTTCTTGTTGGGAGCACCTCTCTGTTGGGGGAGTCCTCTTTTTTGTAAAATACAGGAAAGAGGGTAACTATAAATATGAAAGAAATACGTGGAAATCCGAATGATCCGACGGGTTTAGGACGGCAACAGATCCACAAGGAACACTTAAGAAAAAAGCAATATCAAAGCAATATTGATGTTGTTAAGGAAATAAAGAACCATGGCGATCGCCTCAACCGCTGAACCAAATCCGTCGCTCGTAACATCGTTCGACTTGTGTTGACAAGGGCTTTCCAACGATACCAAATTCGTCCAGATCGGTGGAGAACTGATGGAGATATGGAGGAAGCGGTGGAATATGCGGGTGACGGTTACCCAATTTGGAAACTGATGGTTGTCCGTGGTCAGGAATGGCTTGAAAAAATCGAAAAATATGGGAAACATGGAAGGGGTATATGGAACAGTGGTTGATGTGTTTCGGAAGTGGAATGCTTGACATGGGTGGTAGAATCGCGATAATCGGCTCGTTTGTGTGGTACCGGCTGTGCCCACCTACAACGTTAAGGCAGTCAGCTTCATGGTGAGGTTGAGGGATCTGGGGGGGTGCTTGGACAACACATAAATGGCAGGTGGCGGGACCGCTACCTCCGGCGCCGTTTCTGGGGCTTTTCTCCCCTTGCTGGTTGAGGACGTGTTTTTCCTCTTCTTCTTGGCGATGACTTGGTGGAATTTAGATGTCGGTGCTGGGCTAGGTGCCTCACGGTATCTACACGAGCTAGTACTATCGCCTGCAGGCGGCCGGGGCGCGTCCCTCACCGGTCGCCATCCTGAAAATCCTCTTGGGCCTCCGCCTCCTGCCTTTCTCCCTCTGTCTCTGGTTCGTCCACCAGCTGTCTCCTCAGCCCTTCCATGAGTGCTCTGAGGTCTTCAGGGTGCATCCATCGGGCTCAGCAGGTTTTCGGTTGCGGGCAATCCCGCGCGATGTGCCCTGGTGCATCGCAGTTATAACACAGCCTGTTTCGCCTCTGGTCTATCCTTGAGCGGTCGAGGTCCATGGGTTGTGGCCCTGTTCCTGCTGGGGGGTGTGGCACGGGGGGCTGGGGTGCGGCGGCAGCAGGTGGAGGGCGTGGCTGTGGGAGAGTGGTAGGGAGTGGGGGTCTCGGGGGCAGGAGTGGGGGCCTGGCGGGGGCTAAGTGTTACAGGGATGGGGGAAATTCCCCATTCCTCAATCCGTTCTTATAGTGGGATGAGTGAGGTCATATCTGGTCTGTACCATAACAGGATATGTAATCGATGAATGATCCCAGTCTTGCCTGGGGGTGGACGATCGAATTCCCATCGATCACGATTGGTGATGTAGTGAGCTATTAAGGGATTGATGGTAGGTAGTCGGAGATGCCAGGACGGATGGGTCAGCCACAGGTACTTGGCACTCCTCAATGGAGCGTACCATGTGCGAGGTCGTGACTTGTGAGATGGGCGAGAACTTCATATAGTTGCCATCGGGTACTTGGCGTTCGCAGTGCGAAGGTACCGGTAGCGGGTTGATGTCATAAGCGTGCAATGAGGACTGACTAGTAGGGCCTTCGGTGACTTGGCGTTCCCAAAGGGGACGTACCGTTGGCGGGGAAACATGATGACTGGCAAAGGAGGGAACAGACAGTGGATGGGCGGCGACTTGGCGTTCGCGTAGCGAACGTGCCAGCATCACGGGAAGGTGGGCCTCAAAGTATTCACGATCTCCATGATCGTGAGGTGACGTCGTATGTTGAGTACTGGGGGGAGAGCGGAGTGATGAAGACCCATAGGGTACAGATTCAATAGGACGATACACATGTCGAGAGTCTTTGACTCTCGACCTCGAGTTCTCACGGCGAGGGCCGTTAGAGGACTCGATATAACCAGACTTATAAGACATATTGAGAGTTGTACAGTCACACGGGTTCAGTTGAGTCACAGGGAGGGTTGTTACAGAAGACGGTACACGAGACAGTTGTAGAGCAGTTGTTAGTTAGCAGGAACCGCCTTTGGCGGTTTCCGTACAAGACACGTGACTATCTACAAATGGTAAGGTCGTGGGAAATCCTGCGAAACACAAACAACCTCGGCCAGCACCAAAACCCCAATGGGGAAAGCTTTGCACGAGGGGGGGAAAGGGGTAGAACGGGTAAGGAGGATAGGGTATCGGGATAGAGGACAGAAGGGAGAAAGAGGGGAGGAGCGATAGAGAGGGGAAGTCTTTGACCATGCGACGGATATGGTCGTTGGAGACTCCATATCCGTAACACTAAGTGGGGTTGCGTCGCCTGGAAACGCTGCCACTGGTTGTCAAGGAGGGTGGCCTCGCGTTTCCACTCAGCCCAGGTTGTTGGCATGGGGCGGAGGCGGTAAATGCTCTCGCGGAGGCGGGAGTTGATCGCCTGTTCGAAGCGATCTACCAGCCCCACGTCCCCTAGCTGTGAGGCAGGTCCGAGGATCTCAAACTCCTGGATGATCTTATCCACGGAGTCGCTCCCCTGCCGCAGAGTGGCCAGCTTCTGTCTGGCTGTGGCTTCGCAGTTCGGGTCCTGGAACATGGCGTCGAGTTCCGTGTTGAACTCGTCCATGGTGAGCCGGGGGGAACCCGTCATCAGTAGCGCGATGGTGCGCTGCGTCGCCCACGCCCCTGCGGTCCCTCCCTTCATATAGGACAGGACGAAAAGGATCTGGGAGAGGGCGTTGGGGAATTCCGCCGCTCGGACATGGAAATATATACCGCATTCGGCCTTGAAGCAGTCAAGGTCTTCGGCTGCTCCAGAGAAGGCAGTGGGGGGGGGCAACTTTAGGCGGTTTGGGTCTAGGGGCGGGTGCGGGTGTCGGTGCGGGAACCGGCGCCGGTGCAGGTGGAGCTGGGGGTTGGTTTTGAGCTTGGCTCTCTACGATGGCCTGGAGCTCTTGGAATTGGGACAGCAGTTCATCATACTGCTCTTCGGTCACCATAGCGGGGGAGGCGGGGGAGATGAGGTTAAAGCCTTCTTCTGCTGTCAGGGACAGCTCCGAAAGCGGCGAGGTCCCGGCGTGCGGGACTCGGTGGGATGAGTAGCGGCTGTGCGTAGCGGCGATCTCATCACGGGGTGAGCGTCCCCGACCACTTAGCCTGAAGTGGGAATGTGAGTTATTATTAAAAGGGAAGGCTACACTACTTGCCTGAAGTGGGAATGTGAGAAGAAGGCTACTTCTTCGGTTCCCACTCCAGCTGTTATTATATACATGCGGGATCGGTCACGTGGCGCGCGCCACGTCACCCTCGCACACAGCCACAGCTCTCCAGGTGCCTCCGTGGGAGATCCCGAGAGGGCCCGCTGTGGGTGCGGGGTAAGTGCGGCGGCAATGGCAGCGATATAGGAACAGTGAGATACAAGAGGGGAAATGGGTGTGCACGCCGGTGATACATTGAGCAGCGGGAAAGGTGGTCCATGTGAGAAAGAAAGAAAGAAAGAAAGAAGGAAAGGAGAAAGGAGAAAGGAAGAGGGAGGAGCGGTGCGGAGCGGGGGAGTGGAGCGGGGGAGCGGTGCGAGGGTCAGGCGGGGCGTGCCCTGACAACAGTAGGCATTATGAAGGGGAAGAATCTGTGACATCTCTCAAGGAGAAGCGGCCTGGTGAACTATCCCCCGGACTGGTTGAAGCACTGTCCATCCCTCCCCTCATTCCCCCTCCATGGCTTATTGCCATGCAACAATTTGGCCCCCCACCAAGTTACCCTACACTTCAGATACCCGGGTTGAATGTGCCAATCCCAGAAGGGTAAGATTTAGAGTTCAGACCTCCCCTGTTGCGCAATTATCACCATCTGTGGCCCTGGAGCTCTGAGCACAGAGGGTGTTTCAACCTCCTGGACATGACAGCTGATCTACACTGCTCTGTTCAGGGTCCAGAGAACAGCATCTTCCGTACTGCTTGTCTTCTCAATTTTTCACTGTAACGATGTCAGGCAGAGGTGGTAAATCCAAAGGTCAAAAATCAAGGCTGGTGACGCTCCGATCAGCAAAAAATACTCAGCAAGCTGAGACACCAGATTCCTTTTCTGGCAAAGCTTCCACCACCATCACTGCTCCCACTACCCACCCACAACCACACTACATTCCTCCCTGTCAGGGCACATACCCTGACTTGGCCCAGACCCGGACCCACATCCGGACCCACTCCACTTCCCATGCGCGCTTCCCACGCCGCATGATCCATGCACCACATGCTCCGGTCCCCGGATCCTACCTTCATGTGACTTCCGGGTATCCCTGGAAGTTTTCCTCATATTGTGGCCACTGTGGGAAAGTGAGAAGTAACCTTCTTCTCACTTTCTTACCCACAGCAGAGTTGTGCCCTGGACAGGGCTGTTCACAGGTTAGGCTGTGGGCCATAGAGAGGGGTCATGGGGACCCAGGGTCCATCCCCTGACACTCCCCCCCAATCACCTCCATCAAATATGGACATGGCAATGCATGATCCCATTGGCCTGAATGCTTTAGCGGCAGCAGCTACCACAGTGGCCATGGAACCAGAGATGCTTTCTAACAAATATTCACACATGCCCCAACTGTCCAAAGTATATTATCAGGCCTCCCTAGATATGGGCCCTGTGCTGCAGGTGACTACAGAGAATCGCGTTGACATACGTGATATTACAAGCATGATAGGTAAGTGAACATTGAATTTTTCAGGAGATTCAAATTTATATTTTTTCATCTTAGGTGCATCCAATGCCCTGTCCTCAGGAGACAAGCTACCACAGTGTAGTGAAAGTCCTGAACTGCCTGAGCCCCTCGAGATTACCTATATGGTCAACATCGGAGGCAAATTCAAATGCTGCCAGATGCCAAGTACCAAGAAGTACAAGAAATGGCATGCTGCCATCATTCAGGCCTCAGGATTTTCAGAGACACTCACTTTCAAGCATGAACTATCATGGAAAATGTACACAGCGCCAAAGAACCAAGATCCGGTTGCAGTTGACAACAAACATGATTACAAAATGATGGTTGGCAAAGTTGAGAAAGCAAGGGCAAAAAAGGAGCTGACAGTTGCAATAATTATCAATAACTTGGTATGTTAATCAACAAGAATATCTGAACTAGCCAGTCATTGATTGGATTTATTGTTTAACAGCCCCCAAAAGACAATACTGAATCATCTTGAGGCAACAAGCCAATTTGTAAATCAAAGAAGGCCAGGGTTGAGCAGCCAGACTCACCAGTCTCAACCTCTGAATCCAATTTGGACTCCGAGTCTAAGCAGCACAAGATTCCAGCGGGAATGCCATCAACCCACGAGTTAGAAGAGCTCATCAAACAGAGGAATCCTTTCTGCGAGTCTCACATGGAGCACTGCCATGTGTCAACAGCTTGTGGTACTGATGGATATCATGTCATTCTAACCAAGTTGAACATCAAGCAGTGGGTGCAGTCAATTGTATGTACATTTTCCAAATGATATTTCGTGAATTCATCACTTACAGTCATTCACGGGCCAATGGTTCACATTTTGTAATTTTGAGACTATGACATTGGATCAAAACCAAATACAAAAATTTTACGATAGATAGTAGCCAGGCTGGGTATGTACATATTACCGAGAGATATAAAGAAATGGATGAAAAATGAATGAGAATAAAAGTAGACAAGGAAATGGTGCTTTCCCGGCTCAATGGTTCAGTGTGACATGGTGTGACAATTAGTTCACACAATGAACCGATAATTCAGTAATATGGCATGAAGCAAGGGTTTGCAGAATATTTGCTCTACTGCTTGAGCTGCTTTTTGCTTGTGCATTCTAAGGGAGTGATTACTGATACTGGTGAAAGCAGCAGGCACAGAAAGGAATAAATTTGAGGCACTGAATTTGGAAACTCAGATGTAAGTATACCCAAGTCTGACAAGTGCTTGTTCACCACAACAAACAAACATGGGCACATGCGCCAGTGGCCTTCTGTTCCTTGGTAATACACCAAGCTGTAGGACACACTGGGGTGTCATAGCCATGTTCCTGGAGAGTGCAAGATGCATAACTTTTGTGTGCACCATTAACTCGTTGAACAACTGCTATTACTCCTTCATTTTATGTCTGATTTGGTCAAATTTTTGCATAGTCATAGCCATAGTTATAACATACAAGTGTGCAAAAAATAAAAAAATCCCGGGGTGAAATAAGGATGTTACATGCAAATGAACCATTGAGGGGTGTGAACCATTGGCACATGAATGACTGTAGTTACAGAGTCTGGGCACTTCCACCCTTGAAGAACCCCCAGTCTATTTCTTGAAAGACTGCATGAAACCCAAGCTACAAGTCCCTCCACCCGGCAAGCCAAACAAGCGGGGTGTGAAATCTACATCACAATCTCCAATGTCTGTTGACCCACCTCCAAACCCTGGATCAGGGTCAGCAGGTATGGTCATCATGGCCAATCCCATCCAAGGCAACATTCCGGTCAATTGGCCTGCAATGTATTCCACATTCCCTCCGATGTATCCACCACCATCCTATTACTTTCAGGGTCCTGCCCCCTTCCCCCCATGACTGGTTACCCAGTGCCTAGCCGCTATAGCCCCAGTGCTCATGGACAACTAAGTTACCACCAATGGCAGGGAGGGACTTCACAGATGCTTGTATCAAGCAGTGATGATTCTACACCCCCATCCTCAGCATTCCCCACTATTGGGGACTGGTTGCAGGGCCTTGAGGAGAATGCAGGCTTCAACCTGGATCAATTGCAGTTCACTCAATATGCTGCACAACTCAACCAACTAGGGTTGTTATAGGAATGGACCTAGAATCTTATGGTCCATGACTGAACATTCAAACCTTTGGTCCCTCCACCTTTATTTCATTGTCAAACCCCATGCCAAGCTTTCCCACTGGGTTTTGGTGCTGGCTGGGGGATTTGTTGATTTCCAAGGGACTTCCCTTGGCCATTACAACCTTTGTATTAGATAGATACAAGTCATATGACATGTATGGCAAATGCCGAGATGTTTTTGATTATTGAATACATAACCCACAAACCTTGTACTGTGATTGTAACATCCTCACCATTGTGCCACCACTGTAAACTCAACCTGTAACTCTGGAACCATGTCCACCTCCCTATTCATCCTCTCTATGACAAAACCGCAACAAGGAGGGCATTCCCATGCCCAACCTCCTGCTGCCCACTCCCACCAGTCCACCGGGTGGTTGAGCGGTTGCTCCCATCCAACCAGAAGTTCCCTATCAGGAACTCTAACCTATCCCACCTCCTTAGGAGAGGGATATGGTCCAGGCAGCTCCAGGATGCCTGGCCATGCACCTGTCATATCCATCCCTGGCCATCGACTTCCACTCCCTCCGATCCCTCCAGTCTACCTCCGCTCCTTCTTCACTAACCTTGGAGCTCCCATATTCTGCAATCACCTTGGTACCCCTCGATGGTCACCACCCCCTCTTTTCAATTTATTACCTATCCCTCCCTAAGTACAGAGCCCTGAAGGCCTCCGGACAGCTCCAACGTCCACTAGTGCACTCCTGCCTCCACTGGGCAATACACTCACTTGCCCTGCAAGTCCACCTTCAGGCCTATCCCTCCTTTCCGTTTCTGGGTTATCGCCTACCATTCCATTAACCCTGTAACCCGACTCGTTGGTAATATTCAATCAGCTAATGTCTAACCCTGTTTGCTCCCCTCGGCTTGGCTCCACCATTTGTGGGCCCGCCCTCGTTGTAACTATATATATACTCAACTTGTACATAGGTTACACCTCAGTAATAAAATCGACTAGAGTTTACCCCCTTCAGTTCTGGTTGCCAGTTTAGTAAGTTAGGGCACGGACATGTTACTTGGCACAGCGCTCCTGGCATAAGTTGCTGAGGCTGAAGCCCTCCGCCATGGAGACACTCCTTCATCTCAACCTGGTCTCTGACAGCACCCATGGGTCCCACTTCCCACGGTCACCCACTACCGTGCACTGGTCCACCAGCCCGCATTCCCCAACAACTCCTGCTACTGGTACGCTCCCATGAGCGCCAAGTCACCAATAGCCACCAACTGGGTGACTCCCTTTGGGAGTCCCAGTATCCCACACTACCGGTACGCTCCATTGAGTGCCAAGTCACCGCTAGCTGACCGCTCCCAGCACACCCGCTACTGGCACGCTCCCAGGAGCGCCAAGTCCCTGTTAGCAGACAGCCAGGTGGCTCCCTCAAGGAGCCCACATCATACTCACTACCGGTACACTCCCAGGAGCGCCAAATTACTGTTGGCCAACCCACAGGTTGTACTTCCAGATACTCATCCCATTCCGCTCTCCCTCCGATGGCTATGCAGCCACCTCCATTAGTGAGCTGAACGGTTCAGGTTGGGTTCCCTGGAACCCATTCCTGTAACACCCAAGGGCAGAATTTCAAGGGGGTTGGTCACAATACTAGGGTACAAACAATTATGTACATAGTCTATATATAAGGAGAGATGGAAGATGAGAGAACAAAGGGAGGTCCAAATCAGAACAAAGGTGCCCAAGAAAGAGAGGTCCTGGCAGGGTGATGGATATGGTCATTGGGGACTCTGAATCCATAACACAGTGTGTATGCTGTACCACTAGAAGAAGAGGAGCAGGGGTGCTCAAAAGCCTTGAGAGTGCCTTCCAGTGCTTTGAGAGGGGGTAAGGACCTTTTGGGCTCCCCAAGCTCTGTGGGATATCCTGGCTCCAGGAGGCCCCTCCAAGTTTCCTCAGGGGAATACTACAACTTTTACAAGTTTTGGATGTTGCATGGGGCCCCGGGCCCAGATGTCATTCAATGCAGAATGACATCGTTGCAAAACTTCGGGATGTCTCCATTTCGGTAACCCATATGTTCGATTAAGGGTATTTTCCCTTGAACGCTATATTATGACTGGCCCGATATGGGCATAGCGCTCGGCGGCATACTCGGAAGGGACTGAAGATGAAACCAAATGACATTCTAGATAGTGGCCATATGAACAAATAGGTACTTAAGGAAGGTGACCAGCCTCTATCAGAAGGATGAAGCGCGCACGGACGTGTCAGGGAATGTCGGAATGAATGTGGGATGCTGCGCATGCGCTGCAATATGTGGGATATGTTGCTGGAGCAGCTCAGCCTCTAACATTCGAATGATGGTGAACCACGTTGTCCATGGGTCCAGGAGATTGTCGTCATTGTTGTCCGAGACTGGAACGCTCGATCTTTAAGTAGTCTAAATATATTTGGAGTGGTGGGCGTTGCCGCGAGAGCCTATCTCTCATGATCCACCCAGCGCAAATCAACCAACCCAACCCCTACCCTCATCTCATAGTTCGAATCAACATCACCCACCGCAAACGTACATAAGGACCCGTTTTTCTCTGATATTGACGCCTCAATCTCTTTCATTGCTGCCGGATCTGCCAAGTACCTTGGCCACGTCCAACTTGCATCATGGCCAAAGGTGGCGGATACGATCATACGAGTTCCACGTCATATTGTTACAATGAGAAGTGAGTAATCGTCACCTACTCAGTGTGCAATGAATGGAACTGACCTACTTTCACGTCTCAGAATGCAACTCATCCAATGCCCTGGTCAGAAGTTGGCCGGCATCATTGCCGGAGCAACCATCGGAGGTATTCATGATGAAAAGTTGGACCATTCATGTAGACTAACTGCGTTGGATCCTGGTAGGACTTCTTCTAATCATCGTCGTTTGGGTCCTCATCAAAGATTTTGCGGAACGGCGGGCCAAGAAGGCCAAGAATAAAGAAATGAAGGACTGCGAAGATCCTTACCCCTCTTACCGCGAGCCTCCGACTCCTTGGTATCGAAGGATTTTGCCCAAAGCCATGTTCAGATACAATCGAGTCGCGAATCCCGCGATTGATCCAGGACCCTATCTGCCTCCCAAGGAGATTTCCAAGGAGCCTCTTGAACCAACAGATGGCCAAGACAATGAAGACTCTAAGTCTAATTACTCAGCAACATCTGAAAGCCTTGAAGGGCCAAGTCTCTACTCCGTTCCCTACGATTATCCTGCGTATCACGCACCCAGCTCTGCTCCAGTCACTGAACCCTCAATTCCCCCTGTCCCTCAATATCCAATGCCGATTTCAGTGCCTCCGCCTCCCTACATGCCAAACACACGAGGATAAGCCTCTAGGCAGTAACATGGATTAAGCTATCCTCCCATGTTTCACCTAGGAGCGTGATGCGGATGAAATTGCGGGGCCGCATGGATACCGGTGGTAGTGCGTCCAGGCACCACGCTTATTTGCACTTATCTATCCTGGTTCTCTTGGTCGTGGACTGAATCCTGCCTCTCTCAGACGGTCATTTCCATGCACGACGTCACAACGGTCGCACTTGTATTTAAGATTTGCTGCATGAAGTTAGGTTCCGTCGATTCGTTTTATGTTCTTGTTTTACGCGATCAGCCACGGCAGCAGCATGCGATTTGGATTGCATTTCGCTTTTCTATGGCATTGAGGGTTAGCGTGGTGCCCCTTATTTGAAACACATTTTCCGCTTGGGCTCTATAATCACCCTGTGCTCAAATGGAGGCCTTGCCCCTCACCGCCTTTTGCCTGGTAAGTCTTGCAGGGCAGGTAGAGCGTCTCAGCTTTTGTGTCGTCTGCAATAAGCCACCACTTATGCTTGCACTTATACTCACGTACAAATCTATCATATCCAGACCCCACCCCCAATGCCCACCGCGATCATGTTGCTCGTCGCTCTTCTCATTTTACGCCCAACCCCATTCTTCTGACATTCTGTTGTTCTGTGTATTACTAATTGTACGCTCACCGATCGGTTATGTAAATGGGATTTAATGGAGGCATGGGATTAAGTGTGCGGCGGACGCGAGGGAATATGAGCGCTAAGCTAGACCCATGCATGCCTGCGAAGCGCTCTGACCTCGCGTGCTGTTGGCTCTTAATTCACATGCTGACCATTCGTATATGTTCAGTTTCTCTTATGATCATATAAGCTATTCCCAAAGCTGATTAAATCATCCTAAACTTGTTTTGGTACGCTGTCTTATCTTTCTCTCTCGCGCGCGTTCCGCTGGATGCTTCGGCCTCCGTGCCACTTGTGCTCGCGCAATTTCTTTGCCTCGCGTCCGGATATAATCCCGTCTTCGGCGCTAGGCCCTTTTGGTCTGTTTCACTTTTCAGCTCCTTCCTGGCCTTTGTAACTTGGTTTTGTTGCTCGTCTGTCGCTGCTTCCTGTATCTTCAGCGTTACCCATCGCCACCTAAGTGTATTTTAAACCGGTAGCTCGAAATTTCATACAAGGATGGGAAAGTAAAATAGTCACGAATTGTAGATGTGAAGGTGACCTTGCAAACAAGGTAAAGTACTTCTAAAACTGTTTGACCATCGCTTCATACTTCGTGAACTCATCGAGAACGTTATTCAGCCTGACTCTTGGTACCGCAATTACACTAAAACCGAGTGAGCTGAAGCATCAGGGGGGGATTTTTACACTCACCTTGCCTCTAGCATCTGCATGGCACTCTCCACTTTCGCTCTGCATGCTTCCCACTCGCTTGCTGCGCGATGTTGATCTGCTTGCCGACACATGTCAAGAGTCCCCTTGGCGTTCTTGATGGCTGCATCCCAACCGTCCAAGCTGGACCGCTTCGATCCCGATTTTGATGAAATATTGTAGTGCAGTGTCAAACATTCGATATATGACTTGAGGAGAAGATCAAAGATGATTTCGCAAATGAGACGAAGGTCCCTCATGAAACATAGGGCACTAGCTCTCCCATCAAGTGCTTCCAATGACATTCTGTCTTTCGACCCAACCGGGGTTTTGAGTAAGCCACAGAAGAATGAAGATTGACCGGGAGATTCGGTGTTGCGAGAGAACATGAAGAATTCGAATGCATCCCCGTCATACAAGATGCCATAGATAGGGACCTGTAATTTGTTATGCTGATTAACAAAATCGCCAGCTGCAGCGACGATCAGATGGCTTTTCCGTCGGCGTCGAAGAAAGATTCACCGTCACATTCGGCAATCAGCTGTGCGATCGCGTTGAAGCGCTCAGTAGGAGTCCCCTTGGACTCGACGAAAAGGATGGAAATAATACTGCCAAAGATGATAAATTGGTATTCGACTCTCCCTTTGGTCGCCCATCTTCCTTCTAGCAGCGCATCCGGCGTGTTGCGTATGTGTAATCCGAAAAGTGGCACGAGGCAATCAAAGATCTATGGTATCATCAGCGGCCGTTTAGGTACGGGGCTACTACTCTATCACCGGTGAAAGGAATCTTGATCTGGCGTCCTCGTTCGCATGAGCATGCATAGGCCATAATGAAAAAACATTTTGTTAATGTCAGCAATAATGTCCCGAAAGAGAGTCGTGGGGATCCGCGACCGGTAAAGTTCGAAGGACGGCGCGTCTGCCAGCTCCTTGGAGGGGTCCAGATGGACGTTAGGTGCCATCTGACCGTAATTCACGTTCGAGAAGCTAAGGTTGATCGATTGTTCTGAGAGTTTCATGTGAGCACTTGAGACTATGTCTTTCAGTTGCACAACTCACCGTCTAACCTGGCTATCAAAGCAGTCAGGTCGAAATTGTATTTTCTTGTCAAACTAAGGATGGCTACTGCTGCGGACTGATTGTTGGAAATGGCATCGAGGACTTCTTCCTCCAAAGCATCCTCTGATGCATCATCGAGTCTAGGTCGCTTTGGCATCGGGGAAAGATAGAATAGTGGTGTGATCTCATGTTGCTCGCAGTCAATAACGCGTGATCCCGAAGTGGAGTTAGTGAATTGAAAACATGATCGTGGGAAGTAAAGCTGGCCTGAGTTGCGGCGTATTTCACTCCAAAAATGGATTTCCCTATATTCGAACTTACAGCGTACCGGAATCGGGTGAACCGATGTACACCACCCTGTTATGAAATGGACACTTCGGATGGGACTAAGCATAGTGTGTACTGGCGCTACCGGAGCTTGGTTATTGGGCTTCGTACGTCCTCAAAGGTTTGATGGCTACCTTATGCTCGGCCGGCCTGTTGTTCTCGCTTGAGGACTGGAGAATTATCACGCCAATATTTACGTCTTCCTGCGATGCATCCTGATGCGCTGAATCCCCTGGTGGGGGGTTTGGGGAACCGATTTCATGCCTCGGTTCAACCTCACCATGCCACTGCTGAGAGTTGTACATCATGCGGCTTGTTCGCTTCTAGTTTGAAGTTGGTATATATCCCCGCCCTCAATAGAAAATGCCATGCTGTTCCATGTCCTTTCTCCCTATTAATTGTCATCGATCATCGCACGGCTGAGGCTCAGAGGACAGTCTGCTAGCGCCGCGCAATGACCATGTCGTTTGGTCCTGATCGACGTCAGGACCTAGTATTAACTGATATGATACAGGGAGTTTACGTAAATCTGAGGGCACCTTCGACCCGGTAAAACCTCGCAACCCTTAGTGCGGTCATCCCTACCATCAGACTCTGTACATGCTCGCCGCTCATCCAAGATTCTGTTCCCTCGATACATTCTATCGTGTCACGCGGAATCTGCTTCTTCTCGTTGTTCTACTCCCTGTAAACCTCAGTCTGGTGAGTTTGACGCTTCGTATGCCTCGCGAGAGTCTCAATTCTTCGTCTCGACGTTCTTTAGTTTAAGCCTCATTTGAAATTTGGCTGATCGCTTGGGCGTACACGTATTGGCGGATTCCCAACTCCGAGCTCGGGGCCGCCACGCTTCAAGTCTCCCTCTCACTTGCAGATGTCCTTTGAGCGGCCTTCACCGGACCCCTTGGGAAACATTTCAACAACCCAAGTGCCCTATGAAACGGGTTTCCCCACGGGTTCCGATTCTAATCTTGTTCTCGGCTCCATGTTGGTTGAAAAGCCTGATATGCGGCGAGCAGTATGACAGTAAATTAGCTTGGTGCCGCCATTTAACCCGCGCGCCCATTTTCATGTTTGTGCGCTGGTTAGTTCTCCTTGCCTCATTATTATGGGGTGAGACGAATTTTAATTCGCTCCTTCACCACCACCTGTATTCTACGGAGCTTCTCTCGGACACTCACCCCAGATCTACCACCTAGAAGCGGCCGAGCTCACCACCTCGAAGTTTTATTTGTTTGGCTTCCCTCTTATTCTGTATTCATTTTCTCACAGATTATGAACAATGCTGGCGTGCGGAGTATACCCCATTCCACCACTCGTTATGGGCGTGGATATTGCAAGTCGCACATGATTGTTTTAACTCATGCACGACGACATGGGGGATGCGGCGAACGTTTCTCAGTACTGGTGTGAATCTTCGCGAAGTGGAAGGCATAATAATTTTTCGCTGTCTGGGTAGGTCCATTAGTACATTGATTCTATGGGCCAAGGTGCCATCCTGGCCCTGCTCCACTGGACATTGGTGGGAATGGAAGTGGAAGCCTGTACGGCCCTGTGCCCTGCAAGCCGATCGGTCTTGAATGTGGTATTGGTGTGTGTGTGTGTGTGTGTGTCAGAATTGGAGGCTTGCAGGTACGTGTAGCGCCGATTCTTATTATTAATTGCCATCACGCAATTGGTAAGGTTCATTAGAATCTGGTTGTGAGCACGCGGTTCGAGCAAGCGTCACCGTGCAGGAGCTTTAGTTATCACAGTTGCGGGCATCGGCCATAATGACCATTCAGAAAGGTGAATCCCCTGTAACGTGTACGTGCTTACGTGCTTGGAGAGCTATGGATCGCTTGCACGATGGTGAACAGTTGGTAGGTGCCGGTTAGCTGAATCTCTACACCTCATGCATATGATCTTGCGCCGTTGCTATGCTAAACTGCGCGGACGAGAAGCCCAGAGGCTCAAGGAATAGGTGGTTCGGGCGCTTGTGGACGCGGCTGTTGGAATTTGCACGTGGTCTTTTAGGGAAACCTAAAAGTTGGACATACTGGGAATCGAACTCCAGTCTTCTGGATCGCGAACTCAGTGTGCACAGCCATTACACTATACGCCCTGTTAGGCTGAGGTGGTTATTTCAACAGCGGCACCGTGTGCTTTTAGGCCTTGGAAAAAGAATGATGTGAGATCAGGGGAAGAATTGAGCACGAGTTTGTTATGTAATGAATCGGTATTCTGATGACTGGGGAGTAAATATATAAAGTTTAAGGGGTAAACTTTGTTCGCCACGTACCTGGGCGGTTCATCCAATTGCCAAGTGATGCGGACGCCAAACTTTAGACGGGACATCGGAGATGAAAGGATCAGTATACATGTATGGAACGTATGGAACGTGTACGAAATACGCGGGTAATACAGTGGACGGATCTCTACACGCGCCCAAACACACACGCGCATCATGGAAGATCTCCGTGCACAGGATTGAATCGAGTTGGGTACGGGTTTCCTTTAGAGGCTGGTGTCCTTGCTTTCGGAAATGCGATGACCGTATGTGAAGCCCGGAGGAATCATTCGTGGGCGGATGCGCAGGCGAGCGCTAAATGGTAGGAGATATTCGGGTGCGCGGTATGCATATAAAAGGAAAGCTGAAGGATGGTTCATGGTTGGTGGATGCTAAGGATCCGGATCACCAGGATCGGATGAACGTTGCTGTGTGACTAGTCGGCGATTTGTTCGATAGTGTACAGACTGGACTTATTAGCGTAGGCTGTGTGTCTGGTAGAAAACACGCCGATTTTGATTCCAGTTTAGCGAGGCGGTTTTACAACAGATGAGGGTACATACTCAGTTACACCCGTGGGCGCTCAGTGAAGCATGTTATGTATGGTTGCACGCGAGCACATCCACACGTACACGCAATCCAAGATTGAAAAAAGTTGGACACTCCCATGACCCAAACTGTATCATTCGTGTGTAGCCGAAGCGCGAGCTTGATTGGCCGAGCGTGCGTGCGGGGGATTTTTTCAATCCCAGTGATGGAGTGGGAGCGTCTGCAATTGAGCTAAATGCTGCGCGCGGGTCTGTGGCCCCGTATGGAATCAAGCGCTTGTGAGATCTTTCTAGCAGCATGGGTGATATGCGATACGTATGAGGAAAGTAAGCGCGGCGTTACTTACGGGGTATGGCGGCAAGTGAAAGCCTATCTGCTCGAGATGGCCAGCCAAGGGTGTTGCGTGGCTACGCGGGTAAGGGCGGCGTGGCCGTGCACACATAGAATTGTGTGTGGTTGCGGTTGCGGGTTGAATCAGTATACTGACTGTCATGGAGTGGATGAAATGAGCTTTTTCGTTGGCCAATCAAACTAGCTTCGCTTAGGGTTTTATACCAGCGGGGATTCATTATGCTTGCCAAGCGACTAGCGAATTTGAAAGATTTTTTTAAGGTACGAGTGCCAATGCACGGGATAGCACATGGTTCAATCCATCAGTCATCATCAAGTCAGAGTGAATCCAGGTGGATGTGCATGGGCCATCACGATCAATGATGATTCAAGCAAAGGGAAAAAAGGATTTATGTTCCTGTCATGATATCGCACAGCCACCTTAATGACGCGCGAATATGTACTATTATGTTCATTCAGGCACGTAGGTATCGCAGCACTGACGGCGAAAAAAAAAATTGCATTCAGCGGTTGAGGTTGGTTGGGAGGTGTCGATCAGTGCCGATCTCGTTACATAGAACTCGGCACTTGATTGATCATTTGGGGATCGTCGGATAATGAGGTGTTTATCCAGTATCAACCCAGCAAGGAAATTCACTTTACTCCCTCAATATTCACGAAAGATGGATTTCTCAGAGGAGATTGAACGGACGATTGACTTTCAAGCTGGAGAATCAATTGAATTCAAAACCCAGAACACGTCAAAACACACTAATGATCGGGCTCGCCTTGACACGTTGAAAAGTCCACATGTCTGGGCACCAAGGTGCACATGTTGGTAGCCCAGGATTAAGTTTTTCGCGCAAGGTAGCTATGGTAGCATCACTGGACACTACTATCGTCATGGGGTCGGGGCAAGAAAGAAGCGAGTTGATGCGAGGGGGTCAGAGTCTAGGGATTCATTCGAGTATAAACCACCATCGTGGAGGTATCACGCGCGCGCATCTTTGTGCATCACTGTCGATTCTAGCTGCGAGAGGCATTAAGAAATCTGATCGAATTTAGGAATCCGATGGCTTGTAATTAATGACGTGGTATATTGCAAGACTGATGACCCGAACTTCGAGGTGTGCAGGTTCGGGAGGGGGGGGGGGAAACGATTGACACGATGTGTGCTACGTGATATCGGGGGCCGATCGATGGGAAATATTGAAGTTTACGTCCAAGGCGGGGGTGGTATAGAAACGGTCTGGGTGAAGGGAGTAATTTCACTGTGTGGGCACGTGTGGGTGGTAAGACGAGGGAGGGTCGTCCCCGTTGGTGAGTTGCTTTGTGCCGCGCCCGTGCGAGGTGGTCGGGTGTACTAGGAAATAGAGTGAAGCGCAACTGTTTACCCGGCTCATCTAAATTAAGGGAGGTAAATGTGCCCGCCGGGTCTCAGTCATGGGGGCAATCAAAGCAGACTCTTGGGTTCGCTAAGAGATCAAGCATGAAAATTGAGCTTCCTATCTCCTATCTATATATCGTGGGCGAGCACGCGGGGTTGAGCAATGAGTGGGTGTAATCGGGTGCTATGTCCGGTGACATGATATAGGGAATGAGCGGGACTCGTGAATCTGCGCCAAGTACTATACTGTAGTGCAACTAGCAGTACTACACTACAGTACTGGGCAGGGCAGAGTTACGGCCGAGAGGATGGATTTACACCATGCACGTGAATTGATGACCCTGTGTTGCGGCCACTTGCCCTATTTAGGGGACAATTGAAATAACGGCTTGATATTGAGCGGGCATGAGTGGCACTACTCAATTATTTCATTTTGATGATGGCGGTGATTTATGCATTCAATTTACTTCCGTGAGTGGAGGTAAACATTCCCAAGCGTGTTTGTTTTCCATCAAAACAACTCCATCCACTTAGGTCCACTTTTACTTACTTAAACACCATGTGAACGATGGCGGAGGGGTTGGTTTTTTCCCTCCACCTAACTTGTCCCCTCCTTCCCCTCCAGCTTGCTCACTCGAGTTCTGGAATCCAAGTTGTCACAGCCGGCAACCCCACCTTCACAGCTTACTCTGTGTTGGAATAACACTCTGCACCGCACTCGCCATACCATTGCGCTTGTTCATCACCCGCGTGTCATTTGCGGTGCGACTACTTGAACTCGCTCGCTTACTGTTCCCCCGCGTCCCCTCACCCTAAACAATCTAGTAGCGGGAGGAGCCGCGTTAGCGAAAGTACTCGTCAGCGATCGCTCCGTCCGAGTCATCCTTACATACCCGGTCGCAGATTTTATTCATACTTTGAGTGATATACCCCTCAGTGAGTTATATATATATATGCGCGATTTCACCGCCGTGCTCCCTCACTCACCTTTCGCCTCGCATATCAGGCTTCTGGCCTCTCCCAGCTGCACAGCAATGGCTGCAACCGTGTATACGCATACTGATTTCCCGTATACCATCTCATCTTCCACTACCTCTCCTCGTAAATCCTCCACTTCCACTTTTAACAAGTCCATCCATTCTTCTCCTCCCTCGTTTCGACATCGGAGAGCTCCTACTTATCCCACTCCTATCCCTAGACCATCAACATCGGGTCAGAATGATCTCGATGACGAGGAGGATGAACGGGACAAGGACCGTATCGATAATGCATCTTGGATTTCATCAAGGACATCGTTCGACTCAGAACGGTCCTCTCTGTATTCTCCTTCCTTCTCCCATTCTCGTCCTATGACACCTCCTATATACTCGCGCTACACATCATCCACATCCACATCTTCCCCAGCTTCTTCCTCCTTCATGTCCGCTTCTACCCCCAGTTTGCATGGCCCCGGTCCATGGATGTATGGGGCCACAGCTTCGCCCAGAATCAGGAATGCCGCATTGCCCACTTATTTACCCCCTGATCCCTCTTCTCCTTTCACTACTACTTTCCATGACGAAGATGAAGAAGAAGAGGAGACTATATTAGGCCATCACCATTTATCCCATCCACCGGCTACTACTGCCAAGGCTCAAAGCAATACCGGTCGGAGACGATCTTCATTATTTAGTCATCATAGGCGGACATCAATCGATCCCTCTCGTCCGGCAGAACCTCTTTCCTCTTGGGTCCTTGCCTCCGCTGAGGATCTCGATGAGGAAGTGGAAGGAGGAGAACGCGATGAGTTTGGGAGTGACGTTGAACAGCAGGCACAGCAGACGTAAGTTATCATTTCTTGAATTGTTTGTCCTAGTTTACGTGATATTCTCGTTGAATTCTAACCATCTACTTTTGGTTTTAGGCCAAGCTGTGCCGAGTCTGCACGGAAACGGTGGGATCTGTTCTCCGTGCGAGTTCACCTGGGTGTTTTCCACGCGAAGAAACGACTTTCCAATCTAAAGCAGGGCGGTTCTTCCTCTCCGTCATCGTCATCAACTTCCACTGCATCTTCCACGGTACCTAGCTCGAATCCGGTGGGGTTGCGGTCGCCGAAGTTGACACCTGGTTCGCCTTTAATGTCTCCTCCATCCAAGTTACTTCATTTCTAGAAGGGGGATCTCGTAACGACGTCTATCATACTCCTGCGATTTGCTGCCTTCAAGGACCTTGACTACTACGTCGCATTCTATCGATTTTCGATGGGATATCTTTGACTTTTCGACCCATCCCCTTATCTCCTTTCCTTTTGTGGAATCATGGCATGGATTTTATGCGATATATCGCACCAGAGTCTCTCACATATACCCATTTCATCACGACATCGCACCCACGAAGCAAGAGCATATGAACATTACGACAAGGACGAACAGTAGTATTGTATTATTAAGCCCAGAAATATCAGACAGTCCCTCAAACTGTATTACTAGCGAATGAGCTCGTCCTTTGTGCTTCGGATGCGTGTTCAGAGTGCAGCATCTGCACTATATCCCTCACTCCGCAACACAACCGCGGAGGAAAACCCCGATAATTGAGCTATATTCTTATCATTTTCCCCTCGGCTTGGGTGTTTTACATTCGAGGTTTCAAAGTGATCTACCTCTCGCTTTATATTCGAGTTCGTCTTACACTTGGAGTTCTCTATCCATCCAGTTCGTGCGCCCATCATGACTTTTCTAAAGCGGTTTCCTTACTTCCCTTACCGCTTGATACCATCTCTTCTATACTTTCGACCTAGGTGCCCTTCTTCCGTCTATTCATACCCGTCCGTATTTCTTTATTCGTTTTATTCACTGGTGTGTGGGTCACGGGAATTGTTTTTTCTTTCCCTTGGCGAGTCGAGTGTTATTACCTACCACCACCCCTTTTGTCGTTTTTACTTGATTAGCAAGCGTCAGATGGGTAGTTTATTTGGATTGGAATGCTCAATGCAATATACCTTGGATACCCCAGCGATTTGTCTAACTGATCACGATCAGAGAGACGCGGGAATCATACACATTTGAGTATCAGAAGTTGAATGATAGGTTGCCCTGTGGACGTCCGAGACGTATTCAGAGTGTAAGTGTGGGTGAGAATGGATTTGTGGATATGGGCGGATGTGAATGCGCTGGAGGGGGCATTAGTACGTATACAGTAGATAACCAGCAGCACGCCTTCGCGCGACGTCAGAGGACTAGCGATTAAGATCCAAGTCGATAGGATGATGATGTCAGTTCCTGGTTGTCATGTGGTGGGGTAAGTGGCGGGGCTTGCGCCACGGCTCCGGCCCTTATGATGGCATCTGTGGCGCAATCCATGACAGGAACGTTAAAGTGTAATTAGGTGATCGTGAGGCGCCCCACTCTTTAAATTTCGGCCGTATATACCGTTCAGTGGGGTTGACATGGTGAATGTCAGACGGAGCAATTAGCGCGCCTGTGAACGCTCGAGCGGATTGGAACCAGATTAATAGCAGCCAGGATTTGGTCGAATCGTGACATGTCTAGTGTATACAACGCAGACTTCGGAGACCAGGCAAAGATCGATGGCTTTGATCAACGATATTCCCTCTGAAGCAGACAGCGAAACCGCCGGGTGGACCCCCCCCCAGCTATAATTCCGCGATTTTTACGTGCATCTTCGTCATCGCACTGGGCTAGTGAGAGGAAGATCGGGAGACGATCGAACTTTGCATGGCAGGAGTCCGTGCACATTCTGTCCGGTCATATCGCAGGTGCCATTCAAGGCCATACTCCGTCCCTGGTTCCATAGTACGAGATTATATTGGCTCGTCGGGATGGACGCTTGTGGCCATGCGAAGAACTTCCTGTTTAAGGCTCCAGGGTTGTGCCGGTGCACCAGGTTGAAACGTGTCTGTCATCGTCAATCATCTTTATAGTCTGTCCAACGTGCCAAAATTCCTTAACAAATCAAAGGAGAGATCCTCGAAGAAGGGAGCCACAGTTCCAGGCGCTTCCTCTGCTGAACCCACACCACCACGGCCTTCCTCCAGTGCTGTGTCAACAATGACATCCGCACCTGCGCTCGCAGCTGCGATTGTAGCCGCAGCGGTAGCCGCACCCGCAGCGGCTGCCGTACCGTCAAGTGATACGGGATTCAGTACCGTTTGGAATGGTGTTCTGGTATGATCCTGTCTCTGCATCCACCATCCATTGGCCCTATTCTCTCTTCCGATTTCGAGGGTGTTGGACTTCGGTAGTTGAACTCCCCGACGCCCCGGAGACACCCTTGCCGATAACCTGGTTTTTGGCTGCTGCACGTGGGACTCTGGGTGTGATGGCTGGTTCCGTGGATCTCGGGCGCTTTCTGCCCTCCGACCTCAATTTCTCCCACTCCTCTGACCGTTTCTTTGATTCTAGAACACCATCAAAGTACGGTTTTAGGTCCTCGAGGGCTTGCAAATTCTCTTTAGATTTTGCTCCAGGAAAGTCCTCAAGGATACTCTGAGCCGCGAGAATGGACGGGTAAAGGTTCTCGACATCCGGTGAAACCGCCTTAAAAGTTTTGGAAGTGCAACCATAAGCGGTAATTTGATAATGGTGGTCATCTGGGAGCATTTCGCCTACAGAGCTGCGAGTCGTGAGATGTGTCGCCTCAGTGTCGATGGTCACAAGTGAATCTGTTGCTGCCCTCTCATATCCGAACTCGAAAATGATCGATATTACTGGCATGGAAATTTCCGGAACAGTGATCAAGCGATCAACATGGCAAGCGACAGCCCGTTTGCGATTCTTGAATTGCAAGTTGATGGCTGATGTGAACTCCGGCAAGATAGTCGTGCTTGTGGGACCCATATGGACAGGAATGACAGCATCGATAGAGTCCTGGTTATCTTTGGCTTGGAGGGCCATTCCACGCCGTAGTGCCACTGCCAGATTTTGGGCAGTCAACATTTCAGTATTTTTGGCCAGAGCGAAATGGGAAAAACAGATATAAGATTCTGCAAATGCCTTTCCCAAGGTGGGCACACCATCTCTGGCCGTCACCGAGTGGGCATCCAATATTGTCTTGTGGAATGGCTGTGCAAATAGAGCCTGGAGAAACTCGAGGACAGGGACAGGTTGATGGAAACGTGCGTCATTTGGATTATAAGTGACTTTTTGGGAGTACTTTTGTGTCAAGGCGAGATCGTGTGCAATGGTCACAAGAAGTCGACCGCAGAGTTCTCCACGCTCTCCTTTTGCAAGCAGTCCTTTCCCACAAGCCTGAGCTAGAACTTCTGGACCCCGCGTCTCTATCCCATGGCCATCGTTCAGGTACAATGCTGCCGCCTCGGCCAGTACCGGCTCAGAGGGCGTTCCGCTATGCATGAACTCACGATGTTGGGGAATGGCATAAACAACGCGCATGTGTGACTCAACGAGTTCCGCAGCCATCACTCTCGAGGCCTGAGTGGTCATGTCGAAGGTTATCCCAATGCGAACCCCCAGCGCAGCCACTTGAGCGTGGAACAGTCTCTTCTTGTCCCCTTGCGCGATCAGTTTCTCTCTGGCGAAAAGTATAACAGGCCTTCCTTTCCTCTCTACCCAGTTTTTGTGATGGACATACCATCTGTTACGAATTTAGCCGAATCTTCCGCAAATTGAGTGGAAGACACTTACAAACTACGTCCAAACCCTACCATTATACTGGGTTGGCACATGTTTTCGAGGCTCGGGTTTTTCCGATCGCGTTTCAAAGATTCAAGAACTTCGTTCTCAAACACGTCGAACGGCAGCTCGGTGAAAGGGGGGAAGAGGCGACGACCTTGAGCAACACGAGCTGATGGATGGCTGGCTGGCGAGGGTGCCAGTTTCTGGAGATGAGAACTCGTGGATAGAAAAACGAAAAAAACGGCGCAATCTGTCAGCTTAGCCAGCACTGCGCCGAGGTTATGATAGGGCGAGTGAGTACGCGTCACATTCTGCTGATCCGGTGAGACGGGTTCGGTAAGTCGGTGAGCTTCATCAAAATAAACGATACATTTGAGTTCACCCGCCTCCCCGGGGAGAGCTTCCACAAAGCGGGAACATGAGACCCTCATTCGGTCTAAAGGGCTACCATGGGCGCCATCTTGTGCTATATCCAGCGTCGAAGCTCGAAGCTTTCCAAGGAAAATCAGCATGTGGCAGCAACAATAAAGCCCTCTAGATACCAACCTTCACTGCCTCAGCCGCCACAGAATCTAGGAAGTTTTTCCTGTTGTTACCAACTTCGGCATCGGTTCGTCCTTTGTTGAGATAATCAGTCCACTCAAGTGCTAGCGCTGCTCCCGTTTTCTCTTTCTTCTTATTATTATTGAAGGTGGGGCCGTCAAGAAGCTTGGTGGCATGTTCGAATAGTAAGGCCAATATAATCGCATATTCTACCTGCAGGCGATGATCGGTTTTCGACTGATGTGATTCAAAATATTGTCGAAACGCCTCGTCCGGAGGAGGGTACGCTGGCGAAATTAACGTCATCACAAATATGGAATCCGCGATGAAACATTGCGCACTTCGGAAAAGAGAGCCAATGTCCTCGCGAATATTGATCGGAATCGTAAATATGGAGCGCGCGGCTTGCTCGACCATCCTGGATTTCCCCATTCCAGAAGACTGGATGACTGATAGGGACCAATTATACGGTTCCCCAGATGAGTCGGAACCCCGGCTTGACCCCCAATACGATTTCAACGTATTGATAAACAGACTGTGTGTCGTTCCCCGATACGGTTCTTCAAACGCCGATTGAAGACCTGATGCAACTCATCAGGCAGATGACAAACTCAAGACAAACAGTTAATTACCTCCACTGAGACGGGGCCTAACAATCTTATCCCCAATGCGTCGCAGTTTCGCATCCACTGTTCCACCAATCAATGACAATTATTGCTCCTGATGCTGACCGACACGCACCATACTCGACCAAGGGGCGCCATTCGTTCTGTCTCATGGCGCCCACTATCAAATCTTTGCATTTGGCGCGCTCGACGTCGCTGAAATTTGCCACGATTGATGCCTGTTCGTGGTCATCAACGACGTTCCTACCCGATGCCGGAGCTGTCAGCGGGAATGCGGATGGCTCAGTTGCAGTTTATAGTGGTTTACCGCTCCAACAAGACAGCACATATGAGTCCCCTTCCTACACCAAATCAACCCCAAGTTATCGTCACTCCCGAACCTCGCAGTCTTTCATCATCAGTCCAACTCAGTGTCATGAGTGCCTCAGCGCATATCCAAGCTTCTGGTGCCAGCGTAGACCTTGGGACTAGTTTTGCCGTCGCTTCCGAACCAAATCCTGAACCTGAAACACCTAAGGCCTCAGATTTTGGGCGTGACCATTCGGAACTACTGGATGCGCAAACCCACTTATCGAGCGCTCTTGGAGGCTCGGCTCTGGAATCGACGCGACGTTCATGATGCATCAGTCGTCCAGCCTCCCCGCTCGTATGTTTTGCTGCGACTGGCAAGCTATCCTTTCCAAGGCCTTCGTTTTCTTCTTGAGCTTAGTAAGTGAGTTTAGGTGCCTGCTTTGGTTGGGTGTTTGACGCTGGCGATGAGCCAAGTATACCTTCTGTTTGAATAACACTCGTCTTTGAATGATAGCCATGCATCTCCCGTTGAACTCGCGTATAGTTTTTATGTTTGTCCTAGACTGAACTGCACGCAATTGGTTGCTACGCAGAGGAGTGGGAGTGCCAATGTTGCTCTGCGATTTAGAGCTACATGCCCTATTACTATACTGTAGAACTGTCTGAACGAGATGCGTTACTTACACGCTATGCATGTGTTGGCACATTGTTTGTGATTTTGTAGTTTATAGCAAGAGAACAAAAATGGCGATCGAATTTGATTACCAAGTGACTTATTTGTATCACGTGATCTCCTGTTCAGCATTGCAATGGCTTCTCTAGCTGCCAACATCCCCCTGGCTCAGGCTACCTCGCTTGACCAGAGCCACACCATCGTGGTCCGCAGCTCCTACCAGCGCGATGATTGGCGCCGCTTGCAGCTCAATGACGCCGTCGAAGACGTCCTCTCAAAGATCCTCAGGTTCGGCTTCGACATCGACCGTGTTGAGGTCGCGCCTGCTACCGCCAAACCTCTTCGCAGTCAGCTCCTTGCTTGGGCCAAGCATATTGCCGGCGATATTCCTGGCTACACCAATTGGCAGGAGATCTACTCCTTCACGTTTGACGCTCTCTATGTCGCCGACGCGGTCCCTGGCAGTGACGACACTCCCATCGGTACCGAGGCCGATCTCGTCGCAGAGCTCCAAGACGTCGAGTTAGAGCGTGACTACGCCTTGCAGAGCAAGGCAATCGAGAAGGAACACCTCGCTGACCACGTTCTCTCTCTCGGCAAGGCGCGTACCCGCCAGGGTATCCTCGACAACATTGCTGCCCGCTACGCCGCTGCCAATCCCATGCCCCCTGCCCTCGCCCTGCTCTTCCGCAAGATCCGCTACACCTACAAGCTGCGCGAATGTCTTCTCGGTCAGGTTGGCTACTACAATGGCTCGCTCGAGCTTGCCGCTGACATGCACAACGAGTTCGAGTATCACATGTACTTGATCCAGATGCATCTGCGCCGTCCAGATCGCCTCCACAAATTCAAGGCTCCCAAGGCGATGGCCTACTACACCACCGACGAAACCAGCCTGCTCCCCTGGAACAACCAGTTCTCCTTCTCCTACGGCTATGACGAATTCGGACCGCAGCAGATGCCCATCTTCGGGATCAACTATATCGAGCGCAAGCTCGTCGAAGTCCTCCGCCTCGATGTGAACGGGAAGAAGTGGAGGGGTCTTTGCACTCTATTGGAATGGGACCCGCAGGATGCTGCTCGCGTCGCCGAGCTCAGTCGCATCAAGACCGAATTCGTGCCCGCTGAAAGAGCAGGTAAGCCCCCCTAACTTCATCCTTCTAATCACATTAACTGCTGCCGCAGGTCTTCCAGGTGCTGCCGGCCATTTCCTCGGCGGCAATCTCACTCTCAGCGACTGCGGCTTCCGCGTGCTCACCCTTCCGCGCATCATCACAATCATAAGCAACGATGAGACCAGACGGAAGGCGTTCTATACCCTCTTTCTCGGCCTCACCTGGTCTGACACGCCTCTCAGCAAGGAGGAGAACCCATTCGCAGAGATATACCAGCGGCGCGCGAGGAGACAGCTTAGGACAGGCGTCACCATGGATTATGATCTCGCCCACCTCAAGGACAGCGATGTCAAGGACCCCAGGATTGCTGCCGACCGCCCTGCCATCCTCACTCTTAATCTCGCGCACTTCTATCCGCAGGTCGTAGGCCGCAAGGCCAACTTCATCCTCACCCCGGAGACGGCCAGCGCCGACTATCGCCGCAAGCTCCAACGCCTGAGTGAAGCTCAATTGGATGAACTCTTCATCAACATCGCCACCTATCCCCGCACCGCCAGCTTTGCTGATAAGGTCAATGCCATTGTCAAGCAAGCTGTTGAAGCTGCCATAGACTGGCAGAACCGTGCGGTTGAGAACCACCGTCCTATCTACACCGGCACCAGCGGTCATATGCTTAGCTATTCTCGTATTGTCCTCAGCAATATCGATCCGCAGGGCTGCGCCAATGCCAACCACCCCACCCTCGAGCAGTTTCGCCTCACTTTGCTGGCCGCCATTATCGGTTTCAATCAGCACCACACTTATGACGAGTGCATGGTTGCCTCCCATGGATTGACCCATGGTGGTATCACGCTCAAATATACGGATCGCATCGGCTACCGCGACATCATCGATTCCACCGACTCATTCATCCGCAACAAGGTCGGCAAGCCATTGCTTAGGGCGATGATCGCGATTGGCAAGCAGTTCATTGCGAACTTCGAAGAGCATCAAGCCGCTCTTGAGCCTTCCCTTCCCCACCCAGGCTCTCTCGTTGTGCAGTGGTTCAACGACACGACTGGCCGTGACTTTGCTGCGTAGACGAGGAGAATGGCGGTGATCCAGCAGAACTTATGGATGAAATATGTGATAGTTGTCTGTCTTGTTCTTGAAATCCTTCCTATAATTTTATGATTTTGTTGATACGGTACTTATCTGGACTTGTGTGCAACAGGCAAGCAGTAAAGTAGTGTGACAACGACCCTAATAAATGTTGAAGTGTCAGGGCTCGGCCTCGGTCTGGAGGTGTAAGTGTTGGTCATAGAGAGTATAGGTTAAATAAACCCACTGGTTCGGGTTGGTGTGAGACCCCGTGTCGATGCCAAAGTCCCCCATGGTCGTAGTAGGATTTCCAAACTTCCAGCAAAAGCAGTCATCCCCTACATCAGCAAACCTCCCATGTCGATTGCCGCGCTATATATCACTTCTATTGCACAATCAATTCTAGAGGGTACCCTGATATATAGATGTCATATCAATTCTATTTCAATGCCGATAGTAATGGTTGTGGTGCTATCACAATCAGCTCAAGTGGACACAGATGACATTTTGGTTTCGAGTAGTAAATAAATCAACACAAAAGTGAGAAACAAGTTAAAGGCCAAATTTACCAAGTTTTGCGCATGTCATAGTTTACCTTCCCACTAATTGGACGCCACCTCTCCATGTGTGCCGTCAATCTGTAGCATAGCCCTGATGTAGAATAGATACGTGTCAGCTCGGCATAGTAACTTCATCTGTTTAGTCTCACCTTAAGTCCCTCTTTACAACGCAAGTGTAGCCACTCAGCGCTATGTCCATAAGGCTAGCCTAATCAACATGAAAAGATGTCAGGCACAGGATTACCATTAGAGCCACTGCAATAGCGCTGCCAGGATGAGGATATGGGTTTGTCGGGATTTTGGGGTGGAGCCATACACATGTTGCATCAGCAAAAAATTGTTATGCTCCTGAGTGCTCCGGAGTATCGAGAGCACTGGGAGAATCAGGAGGAGATTGGCTGGTCCAGGAACAGCCCATTTCCTCCAGAGTTGGCTAGGTACTCCAGGGCACTCCCAGGAGGGCCTGGAGCATTGCTTTGTGCACAAACATATCCAGTAAATACAATTTAAATGCTTCAAAGTGTATAGGGGTGAGAAGCTTCTGGGAGCTCCTGGAGCATTTGAAAATGAAAAGGAAAAAGAAAGAGGGAAGATCCCCCATGAATACCTCCTACCACAAGACTAACACAACAAGACACTGCTTAACATTTAGATCAAACACTATACTATATATCAAGGACACTGAGACTCACCAATACACAATCAAAATTTATGGCCTGATATATGATTAATCTGGCAACTTAATCACTTTTGGGCTGGCAGAATATGGGGGAGGGGGAAATGGGGGAGAATGAGGGGGGGAAATGAGGGGGAAATGAGGGGGAAATGAGGGGGAGAATGAGGGGAGAATGAGGGGGAGAATGAGGGGGGGATATAGAGGGAAATGAGGAAAATTTGAAAAATAGGGACTTCTAAAAAGTTGAAAAAAATAATTAGGGAAAAAATCAAAAAAATTCAGGAACTGTAGTGCCTTTGAAGTGCTTTCAGGATATATAATTATTTGCAAAATCGAGGAAGAAATGATGGAGAAAAATGGAAAATACTTTCGGAGACCCGAGAAATAATGAGAACTGAATTGATGGGAAAGTCTGAAAATTGAATAGGGAAGTGAGGGGAAGCCTTGTAGCATTGTTATTTTCTGCTGTTCTAATTTTTCCTGATTGTTCTTGGTCTCACTCCCAGCTGCTACTGGATACTCCTGGATACTCCTGGAAGCTCCTGGGAGGGTCCAGGAGCAGCTAATGGAAAATACTTTTGGAGACCTGTCACGACCATGCATCCCGGCCCGTTAGCCGCCCGTCCCGATGCTGCCCGAGCCTATTCCCGCTGTGCGAGCGCGAGCGCGAGTGCCAACCTCAGCCCTATCCTCCCTGAGGGCCCCCTGCTCACTCCCCCACTTGCCCCTAGGCTCCCCTACACTTGGCCGACTCCCCCACAGCCACACCGACCTCCCTGCCCCGAGTCCGCCTCCGGTACCGACCTAGCGTGACTCCGCGACATCGCCTACTCCGCTATGATACCATCGCCGCTATCGCGGCCCTACACCCCTTCGTTTATTTATCTGTTATTGTTTGTTTTGACCCTCGGTCATTGCCGGCCGCGGTGCGGCCAACCCCGCTCTTTGTTCCTATTTGCTTCCGGACCCTTCGGCCTTCGGCCCGGGTCCGCTTCTATTCATTTCACCTTCATATATATATCCTGTATACTACATTATAGTACCTTAGCTCTAATATCGACTTGACCACGACCCCAAGCCCTGACCCCAACAAGGCAGCCCCAGTAAGTTCGAAATGAGGGCCAAGAGACAACTAGGGGGCACAGCACTCCCTTTAGAGTTGCTGAGGCCAAATGCCCTACCCTCGGGCCTTGTCTGAGGCATCGCGGCCATCGCGGCCCTTAGCGGTCCGCATCGGCGACCTTCGGTGCCCGACCCCGGATCAGTATCTAACAAGACCCAAGAACTGAATTGATGGGAAAGTCTGAAAATTGAATAGGAAAGTGAGGGGAAGCCTTGTAGCATTGTTATTTTCTGCTGTTCTGATTTTTCCTGATTCTTTTTGGTCTCATTCCCAGCTGCTCCTCAATACTCCAGGAAGCTCCTGAAAGCTCCTGGGAGGGTCCAGGAGCAGCTGGGAGTGAGACCAAGAACAATCAGGAAAAATCAGAACAGCAGAAAATAACAATGCTTACAAGGCTTCCCCTCACTTTCCTATCCATCATTTCTTCCTCAATTTTGCAAATAATTATATGTCCTGAAAGCACTTTAAAGGCACTATAGTTCCTGATTTTTTTCTTTTTAATTTTTCCCTAAATTTTTTTTTTCAACTTTTTAGAGACCAAAATTTTCCTCCCACTGCTCCTGGCACATTACATACTCCTCACCACTCCCAGCTGCTCCTGATCCCCCTCCCAGGAGAACACTATTGGCTCCAGGAGTGCCCAATCTGCTGTTTTGTCTCCCACATGCTCCAGCCACTCTTGATGCTCCGGAGCATAATGGACTTTTGCTGATGTGGGAGGGCATTCAACTTGGTATCTGAAGGAGAGATTGGAAGGCAGATGCTGCACTCACTAATATGGTGCTGCTCCCATGCCTGCTCAATGTCCTGAAGTCATTTTCTTGCTTGCCAAAACTTCAAGTTCAAAGTTTGAAAAAAGGAATGAACGGACTTAAGCCAAATTTGATTCCGGGAAATTCAGTTCTGTACAATAAAATCTGCTTTTGATGCAAAGTCCGTGGCTCAATATATTCATTGTAATGAAGGAGTTTCCGTGGGAAGTAGAGGTACGTAATTGTACACTGGGTAGCAGTGATAGAACTGATTGAGGCTCGACCAACACATAGATTGTAGGGATGAAGCAAATTGTGGAGATAGAATTGCTGCCTATCACTTCTATTGACCTTCGAGGTTTGCTGATGTAGCATCTCAGGTCCTGCTCCTTGTATAGGAAAAAAAAGACTGGTTTGTGGTCATATTACTGTTCACAAACACTAGTACAACCTCCACACTAACTTTACATACTTCCTCACATTTTTTCCAAACCCATAATTTCCATCTATAAGTGTCAGGGCAATAGCCCCAAACCCCGAGCCACATGTAAATTAGATACATATTGTCACGGCCGTGCATTCCGGCCCGTTAGCTGCCCGTCCCGATGCCGCCCGAGCCCGTTACCGCTATGCGAGCGTGAGCGCGAGCCCCGACCTCAGCCCTATCCTCCCTGAGGACCCCCTGCTCACTTCCCCGCTTGCCCCTAGGCTCCCCTACACTTGGCTGACTCCCCCACAGCCACACCGACCTCCCTGCCCTGAGTCCGCCTCTGGTACCGACCTAGCGTGACTCCGCGACATCGCCTACTCCGCTATGATACCATCGCCGCTATCGCGGCCCTACACCCCTTCGTTTATTTATCTGTTATTGTTTGTTTTGACCCTCGGTCATTGCCGGCCGCTGTGCGGCCAACCCCGCTCGTTGTTCCTATTTGCTTCCGGACCCTTCGGCCTTCAGCCTGGGTCCGCTTCTATTCATTCTATCTTCATATATATATCCTGTATACTACATTATAGTACCTCAGCTCTAATATCGACTTGACCACGACCCCAAGCCCTGACCCCAACAAGGCAGCCCCAGTAAGTTCGAAATGAGGGCCAAGAGACAACTAGGGGGCACAGCACTCCCTTTAGAGTTGCTGAGGCCGAATGCCCTACCCTCGGGCCTTGTTCGCGGCATCACGGCCATCGCGGCCTATAGCGGCCCGCATCGGCGACCTTCGGTGCCCGACCCCGGATCAGTATCTAACACATATAGTCATGTGGGCAAGCGGGAACCTCTGGGTAACTGCTTACACACCACCGTAAAATACACATTCTTGTATCACTTACGGCCTTGTGTGCTGAGCTACCCAAAGACCTCACACTTTTTTAAGTGCATGAGGTGTGTTTTACAACACAACCCACAACTACATAATCTTAACATCTGACTCGGTAGCACTTATGGCGCCTAAACACGCCCGCAAGGGCAAAGTTGCATCTGCAGTGACACTAAAAAGAAACGAGCGGTTTAAGAAACCGCAATCTCCCATCATGGGAGATTCAAACCAAAAGCCATCGTCAGATGACGACGAGGATCAACATGATCCGGCATTAGCAACCACCTCAGGGCTGGTCCCTGAAGGTTTTAGAAACTTATGTGGAGTAAGTGTGGGGCCAAATACCCCCAGAACTCCACAACATACCGATCTAACCCAAGCTGGGGAAGATCCCTCACCTCCTCACAAGGTGATCGACTTGCACGAAAAACGTGTAAGCGTCGAACGATCAGCCCAAAAAGCTGATCGGATAGAGTCGCAGGAAACTCCAGGGCCCCACTATCCCCTGGAGTCCCCCCTCACATCCCCAAGTCAAGCCCCAAAGGCAGACAAAGGGAAACAAAGGGAAGAGCCCCCACGTTGGCTATCCGAAAAACTACTGGACTTGTTCCAGGTTCTGTCTGAATGGAGGACAGAAAGTGAAGACCAACTTCTTCTCAGGCTGAAAGCCCGAGAAGGCACGAAGATATGCCCTGAGAGTAGTATCTCCCAGAGTGTGGAAGCTCCAAAAGAACTTCCGCTGTTTACACTCCCAC